AGCTCTTGTATTACTTCAATACCTGGGCCCTGTAGATGCTCAGAACATCGCAATGGTTTTTGTCTGATTTCCATGCAGAAGCTGGAAGAACATTTTGCTTATTTGTGATGCTGAAAACTTTTAGCCTGACTTGAGCAATGATATAAATGGATTCTTGAACCACATGTTCTTACCTTTGTTCGGTAGTGTTTAATTCATTGAAGTAAATTAATTTCCTTGATCTTTTGACACTTTCCCAGAATGATGTTCGTAGTGATGATGGGATCCAGGCAGGCTGTACATGCTTAGGATGAGCAGAACTATGCAGTATAAGGATGGAGCTCTGTCACTGAGCCCCTGCCATGAATGCTGGTTTTGAAATACATTACTGATAGCAAGGCCCATTTACTATGAGTAGTCCTCTGTCGTAAATGAAATCAAGTGATGGATCTAACTCTCAATATAGTTCATTAATACATAAATGTAGGACAATATTTATTATATGATGTGTCTCATTCTGTCATCATCACCTTCATCAACAAGGTGTTCTCCTTGGGACGGAAAAAAAAGATTATAATGTTTAAAGATAACATTCCTTAGGGATAAGTATAATGGACTTGAAGCTTTCCTGTCTCCTCTGATTCATCAAGAACTTGTGGGAAATCCCCTTGGATGTTTCTACTGAAGGGAATTTGAAATATACATGGAATGTAAGTTAAACAAGTTGCCTATTACTGGACTATGGAAAGAAGAAGCAGTCAACATTGCTCTAAAATTTTATAAGAATGCAAGAGAAGCCCAGCTGCATTAAGCCACCAGTCCACATGGTCCAACACCCTGTAATCCCCCAAAGCCAACTAGATAGCTCACTGGTAGAGCATTTGCTTGGCATGAAGAAAGCCCAGGTATGTCAATTTACAAGGATCAGTTAGTAGCTGATGTGAGACCCTGGACAGCCACTGCCAACACTGACTGTGATGAACCAATGGTCTAATTTCAAACAAGTCAACTTGAGAGCCAGTTTGGTGTAGTGGTTAAGTGTGTGGACTCTAATCAGGGAGAACTGGGTATGATTCCCCACTCCTCCACTTGCACCTGCTGGATGACCTTGGGCAAGCCATAGTTCTGATAAGAGCTGTTCTTGAAAAAAGAGCAGTTTCTGTCAAGAGCTCTCTCAGCCCCACCTACCTCACAGGGTTTCTGTTGTGGGGGGGGAAGGGAAAGGAGTTTGTAAGCCCCTCTGAGACTCCTTTAGGTAGTGAAGGGTGGGGTATAAATCTATTCCTTCTTCTTCAAGTGTTCATCTGTTCATAACCCAACAAGCCTTTCTGAAGGTCATAAAGATATAACCCTTTCCTGCTTTTGCACCCCCCCAAAGGAACTGGCATTCTCTGGAGAGGTGATATAAAAATCTCCTAAATAAATACACATAGGGTGCTGTACAGGATTAGCCCACTCAGGCCAGTCCAGGGATAAGAGGGAATCCTGTACTTTTCAGTACATTAATCAACAAACCACGAGATGGTCTATACCCTCTCTGGTTTCCAGACAATTCCCTGCTTTTCCTAAGGGAAAAGATTCCAAACCCTTAGTTGGCATCTGGGACAGAACACATTAGCAACTCGATCCAGAGATGCACACTTTTACCAAGGTAGCTTAAGTGGTCAGGGTTTAGCTACAAGATTTAGACTTGGAATTCAAGTTATGACATCAGAGACAAATTAGCAATAAGAAGGATCTTTATTCAGTACAGAGCTTAGCAACAGACTATCAGAGATTACTGAAAACAAGAAAAACCTATGGCTCTTTGCCTTAACTACAGATTAAAGATACATAGTTACCAATTCAGGAACATCCAACAGTCCAGAATAGTCCAAGGGATTTTGAAGGGAAATCCCATCTTTGCACACCCATGTGCTCCAAGTCACCAAGCAGGTCTTTGTGTTCCAAGAGACTGCATTTCAGGTGCAATAAAACAGACAATGACAAGAGGAGGAAGGGAGAGCTAAGAAAGTCACTCCCATACGGATCAATCAATTATACCCCAATTCCAGTCACAAATTAGCTGTGGCCATCAGCCAATTGCGAGTGGGCATGGGTGTGCCCAATTGTTGGTTGCCATGGTTGCTAACATCAGGTTTGTGGGATTGGCTGAAAGTTTGGAGACCCTGCCTGCAGTCAGCTGACCCAAACTCCAGCTACTGCATTGTGTACGTGACTGGTCGCAAGTGGGCCAGAGTGTGGAGCCATGAGGTCTGGCTTTTGGCATGAAGGTGTGAAAGAATGTGGGTTTATGGCATGGCTATTGAGGCCATGTGGCCTCACCATTTGGCTTGCAACAGGAAATAAGACACAGCACAGGAGAAGGCATGTGGATATAGAAAGCAGAAAGCAATTTTTCTATACAGGTGCTTTCACACTTGCTAAATAATGCAGTTTCAATCACCTTCAGTGATTATTTGCAACTGGATTTTGGCATTTCACACAGTAAAATCCAGTGGATTGATAGCACATTATTTAGTGTGGATGACAGTACCCATAAGCAGACTATCTCTGAACATGGGGGTTCCATCATGGTCAACAGTCATCACTTTCTCCAGTTGCCCATCAAAGCCATTTATGTTAGTGGCCCCGCCTCCTCAGCTGGGTTCAGAGACTTTGTTAAAAGACCTGGCCTCCTCAACCACTCCTCCAAAGATCAAAGAAGATATTTCTGCTGTAAATGAGACATCCTTTAAGAGGGGGCCCAAGAGACACAGCTGGCCTCCTTTTGGGGAGTGTCTGAGCACTACAGGTGTATTCCCCCACATGAACGGTGAGAAGACCTGGAGAAGGATGGGAAAGGAAGAGAAGGGGGAGAGCTCTTGCCAAGCCTCTGCAGAAACAGTAGCCATTTTGGAGTGGTTTTCCCTCCAATGCCCACCCCATCCTGGGGGCACACGATCAATAGCATTTGGGTCTGTGGGGGGCACTCTCATCTCCAGGGAGTGGCTACCTCCCACACCCCTGGCTCAAGCCCACCCTGCAAAAGTTGCCACAGGGAAACTTCAAGGCTGTTGTCAGACCTGGCACTTTGCTGCCTGGCTAAACGGCAGACTTCCAGCAACCATCAAGTGAATCTAGCAATGCACAAGTTGATAGCAGCTTCTGGGGAAAGCCTCAGACAGTCTCGCTTCATGTGGCCTCACTGAGAAGGCTGCTGCCCACACTGCTTCCCCAAAGCCCCAATGCACCCCTGCTGCAAAGCCAGTTATCCTAGAGCTGGAGGGGGTGGTCATGAGCAGTGATGGAAGCACTTCCTGGGGGGGGTGGAAACAGTTTTTCTGCTGATGGGAAAAAAAGGAGATGTCCATTGTGATGACCCACCCCCCCCAAATGCTATGCCATGGGACGTGCATGATCAAAATTCATGTGGAATGATGGGTTACTAACAATCAAACTAGGTGCTACTTTTTACATGAGTTCATCAAGGGGACTTGAAGATCCTGAGGGAACTTCTGTACAGACCCAATTCTGATGAGACTGGTTCTTACTTTCTTTCGGGTCTCCTGTCCCACCCTGTTTTCAGATGCTGAAATGATCCAGGGGCTGCAGGGGGAGGGATTGTCCAGAGGCTGCATATGCGCTGAACACTTGCACCTGCAGCCTCCCAGTTAGGGTTGTTGTAGCATATTGGCCTCTTTGGCTTGCCATACTTGGTGGTGATGGAGCTCAGCCCTTTAAATAGGTTGTGTTATGTTCAGTCTCAGCTTCTTTCTTGCTGGCAGCTGCAGCAGTTTAAAGGTCATCATTGTTTTATGGAGCTACAATAAAATGCCCTAGGCTTTATCTTCTTGGTGCCATCTCTTTTCAGAGAACAGTTGCCAACCTTCAGGTGGAGCCTGGAGATCTACAAGTGACAGTAAATGGCTGCTTTGAAGGTACACTGTATGTCATTATACCCTGCTGAGGTCCTGGATCTCCTCTCCCCAAACCCTGCCCTCTCCAGACTCCATTCCCAAATCTCCAGGAATCTTCCAACTTAGAACTGTCAGCCCTACTTCCAAGGGGGCAAATAATGCCCACCCCCACAGTCCCAAGTCATTTCAACTGCCAAAAGTATGCGGGCAGGGACCCCTCCTCCCTCACACAATAGTCCCAATCAGAATTGGGCCCAATTGCTCTCTTTACAGAGGTGTTTCCACTGGAACTTCTAGGAGTAGCACAGCTGTTAGTCCCCATGGCAAACTAGTGTAAAATGTGGCATCTAGTTTGGCTTTGAGGAGGAGAATTGAGTAAACTGGTATAGGCTAAATACTTGCAGAAAGAAAGAAAGAAAGAAAGAAAGAAAGAAAGAAAGAAAGAAAGAGAGAAAGCGAGAAAGAAAGAAAGAGAGAGAGAGAGAAAGAGAGAGAGAGAGAGAGAGAGAGAAAGAGAGAGAAAGAGAGAGAAAGAGAGAGAAAGAAAGAGAGAAACCCTCAAAAAAGAAAGGAAGAATCTCCATTACACAGGCAGTGTTCTTTCTGTCTCTACAACCTTTCTCTATATGTTGCATCCCCCTGCTACATAAAATAAAACAAAACAAATACAGCACCAAAGCAAACTTTCACAAGGATTTAGGAATTTCAAATCAGTCAAAAATAGGACTATACATTCTTTAAAACACAGTTTAGAATGAATGAAGGGTCTTTCTATAAGGGATGATCTGAAAAACAAATCAGTGTAACTTCCAAATTCTAATTCAAGGGAAACATTTGTGGTTTATCCCAAATTATTATGAATGGCAATCACACAGGGGGGGAAACAGAACAAAACCTTGCATCTGAATCTCAAAATGGGGCCATTCTTTCTCTCCCTGGTACATACAAATACACTCACAAAGAAATGCAACTTGTTTCAGATTAAAATAATTTTAATAAGATTTCACTGGCATACATAATTGTGGTTTTAACTGTTGTGCACCTCAAGGATAATATAAATTGTACATTAAAAATGTATACAGGAATTGTAGAGCAAGCATGATGATAAACACACCTGTGCTTTCATTTTGAATACAGTTTCCTGGTTAAGATTCTTTTTAGAGAACCTTTAACATCCTTATTTCTCAAGGTGTAGATCAAAGGGTTTAACATGGGTGTGACAATGCTGTAAAGAACAGAAATTAGTCTATCTTTGTCTAATGAATAAGTTGATATTGGCCGGACATAGGTGAAGATGGAGCTCCCATAATACATGAGGACAATAGTCAGGTGTGAGGCACAAGTGGAGAATGCTTTGAGTCTCCCTTCAGAGGAGCTTATCTTCAGGATAGTGGAGATTATGTAGACATAGGAGAGAACTATGCAGACAAATGGGGTCCATCCTATGAAGACCCCAACCACAAGAAGAATGGTCTCATTGAGTGTGGTGTCCCCACAGGAAAGCAACAGAAGTGGAGGGATATCACAAAAGAAATAGTTAAGTTTATTGGCTCCGCAGAAAGGCAGGTGGAAGGTGAAATAGGTGTGCAAAGCTGAGTTGAGAAAACCACTTGCCCAGGAGGCTCCAGCCAAATGAAGGCAGAGTTCTTTCCTCATCATGACTGTGTAATGCAAAGGGTGACAGATAGCTACAAAACGATCATAGGCCATGGCAGCCAGAAGAATGCACTCTGTACCTACAAAGGAGAGAAAGAAATAGAGCTGAATTACACACCCAGCATATGAGATGCTCTTCCTGTCAGACAGCAGGTGCACCAGCATCTGAGGGACATTGGTAGTGGTATAACAGATATCCAGAAAGGAGAGGTTCCCTAGGAAGAAGTACATGGGGGTGTGAAGCTGAGGGTCCAGGCAAGCAATGGTAATGATAGAGATGTTCCCCACCAGAGTACAGATGTAAGTGATGATAAAGATAAAGAAAATCAGCAGCTGAAGGTGCTGTAGACTGGAGAACCCTAAGATGAGGAATTCTGTCAATGCTGTTTCATTGACCATTGACTTGGAGTACTTCCACCCTTCCATCTGGAAAATAAGGGAGAGATGTAGAAAATGTTACATTGCCAAAAATGAATGTCTTCCTCTTTAACTGATATGCAAATCTGAATTCTGCATGTGCATGCATATCTAAACTCCAAATACAAAGGTATTGAAGGAAGTCTATCAGGTACTTAGCATACTTAGGGATTCATGAAGCAATGTTCCAGGTCTACACAATGTTTTATCCAGTCAGCTCTGCATAGCCCACAATGGGTGTCTGTCAAGTATTTGACCCCCTCCCCCTTCCTTACTGCAATATTATAGCCTCCTGCAAACAGTACAGATATCGGTGCACACTTCCAGCTAAAGTAGCCCTATACTTGAGATCCTTTTCTATCAAGTACTAGCCTAGCAGCTTGAAAACTGGATTTAGAATGATAAGACTTGGGATTCAAACCCCTCTTCTCACATGATGCTTATTAGATTACCTTCAGTCATTTTCTCTCCACCTAATCTATCTCACACAGTGGTGTTATGTGGATAAAATAGGGAATGAGGAGTGGGAAGACCATACAGGCAGAGGTGGACTTACAGAGAAATTTCCTGGTGGACCACTCCCCTAGAGGGCTGCTTTTGGCCAGGAGCAGGCATAACCAAGCTCTGCTGCCTCTGTCAGAACTTCAGTATCATGGCTCAGACCTTTAATCAGCAACAGTTAGGTTTCCCAGTCCCCCTGTTTGGATGAGGGATTACCTTCCCCCAGGTCTGCTTCCCGTAAGGGAGAAAAAAAAATAATTTTTAAATTAAAAAAATTACATCAGGGAAAACCTGGAAATCATGGAGGGTAGGTCTAGGAGCCCTCTAAGTTCCATGGTCCTACCCCAGCCTCTAATTATTGTATAATATTATACTGGCCATAAAGCTCACTGGGTGACCTTAGCCCAATCCCTAAGCCTAACCTACCTCACAGAAACGTGATTAGGATAAATGGAGGAATGGCCCATTTTGGGTTGCCAACCTCCAGGTGTGACCTAGAGATCTTCCAGAATTACAAGTGATCCCCAGATGACAGGGACCAGTTTCTCTGGAGAAAAGGGTTGCTTTGGAGGTGGACTCTATGGCATGACACTGGACTGAGGCCCCTCCCCTCTCCAAACCCCACCATCACAAGGCTCCACTCCCAAAATCTCCAGGGATTTCCCAATCTGGGTTACAAGTATTTACAATTTTTTTTTAAAAAAATGGCAAACCCTGCATACATTTTTACAAAACCACTCCTTATTTTTATACCTTTTTTCTATAGTTCAATTGTATATAGATCACTTCTTTGTTGCAGCTGGGTCTATGAACTGTACCATTCAGGTATTTATGCCTGGTGGTTTTACCCAACCATTTCCATAGTACCTGTTCTTCAATAAACTATCATGCCCTCCTGATCCATGCCTGTCCTTCCAGAAAAGGCTATTTCTATGTATTTTATGTGCATGTCTGGATTCATGACCGTCTGCTCCCAGAATCTGGCAACAGCCTAAACCATGAACATTTCAAAATCAAAATATTCATTATTAAAATTCAGCCTGGCAGAATATGCCTGATTTCACATATTACAGTTCTCTGCATTTTCTTGTGTATGCAAGTATGGAAACAAATGTTGATGTGAAACGAGAACCCATATGCCCTTGCAATGTTTTCTTGGCTTAGAAATAGTTCAGCTCTGATCACAGTCACGATAGCAGCTGATTTGGTGCACTGCCAAGTTCATGCTGCAAAGCAAATTTATTAAGCACAGGCATTCAATCAGTGTGAACATCAGGGTAAATCACTATCAAAATATTAGCACAAATGAATATCCAGACATGCAAAAGCAGAGGATTTCTAAAATGCAGAAGTATAAACCAACATATGCTCATTTTCTAATCCCACCCCCAAGTCCATGTGTTAGTGGAAACGCAAAGGGTTGAAGAAAACATAATATAGTAGCACCTTAAAAGACTGATGGTAATTTATTCCAGAATAAGCCTTCGTTGACAAAGATCTTGTTCAGATTCAACAGAATAGATTTTCACTAGGCAGGTGTTTATGGAATTCAGCGGGTAGCCATATCAGTCTGCAGTAGAACAGCTAGATTGGAGTCCAGTAGCACTTTAGAGAAGAGCAAGATTTGGGGGCTATGAACTCTCCAGAGTCAACACTCCCTTTGTCGGGTATCTGAAGAAGGGAACATGAATCTCAAAAATTCATACCATGAAAATCTTCGTGGTCTCTAAGGTGCTACTGGACTCATTTGAGTGCTTTTATCTGCAAATGTTTATACCACAATACAATTTTGTTAAACTGCCACTGGAGTCCTGCCAGCTTTGCTGCAACTAACGTTGCCACCCTCCAGGTAGGGCCTGGAGCTCTCCTAGAATTACAATTGATCTCCAGACTGGAGAGATCAGTTGCTCTGGAGTAAACGACTGCATTGGAGAGTGGACTGTGTGACATTTACCCTGCTGAGGTCCATCCCCTCGACAAGCTCCACTTTTCCCAGGCTCTACTCCCCAGTCTCCAAAAATTTCCCAATACAGGGTTGGTAAACCTACGTCTAAAGTAGAAAACCCAAGAAGCAAGAATGCCAAGTTCCGGGCCCAAGGCTCATCCAGTTCAACTTCTAATTCAAATTCATAGTTATTGAGTAAATCATCACAAGTCTCTGGTTTTTAAGAAGTAAGAAGTTTAAAGAGACAGTCGCTTGCATCTTATACCTTGCTTCTGCTTGTGCTCCTGTCTTGCTTGACTTTGCATCCTTCCCCCAAGATGTCACCCAACAGTCACTTATACCTGTTTCATACACCACTGGAGATTGAGTTCCTAATTAGTCAGTGCTACATTGTTGATAATTAGCTTTCCAAGGATACAGCATGTGAACCCCAGTGATTAGACAGGTAACTTGTATGTTGCACTCAGTTGCATCTGTATGCCTTCATTAGCATGATGAAATTTAGTATGAATTAATCTTCCAAGAACCATGAATTAATCTTCCAAGTCCCCTCTTCCCTTATCAGACTTTATACAAATCATTCAACCTGTATTATCCATGTATTTTAAAAGAATCCTTTACCCAGGGGGGGTTCCCCCCTTCTTTAGCCTTTGTAGCCTGATTCACATCATTATTTTAGTGTTATCAGCTTGGTGTAGTGGTTAAGAGTGGTGGACTTTAATCTGATTCCCCAATTCTCCATGTGAAACTAGCTGGGTGACGTTGGGCCAGTCATATTTCTCTCAGAACTCTCTTATAAGAACATAAGAAGAGGCCCCCTGGATCAGACCAATGGTCCATCTAGTGCAACATTCTGTCTCACACAGTGGCCAACCAGTTCTTGTGGTTCCTTTCTCAGCCCCACCTACCTCACAAGGTGCCTGCTGTGGGTAGAGAAAGGTGGGTCTCCCCAGGTGGGAGCACATCCAACCTGTGCTGAGGACACTGCACTGGCTGCCGATAGCATACCGAATCCACTTCAAGGTGCTGGTTCTTACCTTTAAAGCCCTATATGGTTAGGGTCCGACATACCTACAGGACCACCTTTTCCTGTATATACCCCAGAGTGCACTATGATCAGGGTCTCCAAATCGACTGACCCTCCCTGGCCCCAAGGAGGCGAGGCTAGCTATTACCAGGGCCGGGGCCTTTTCAGCGGCAGCCCCATCCTGGTGGAATGAGCTCCTGGAGGAGACCAGGGCCTTGCGAGATCTGATGCAGTTCCGCAGGGCCTGCATGATGGAGCTCTTCCACCAGGTGTTTAGTTAGGAAGCCGTTACTGCTATAGAGCCCTGGCCCTTGGTCTTGACATCGAACCGGCGTTGCATGAAATCATGAGCAGAACAACATCTGTGAAGTTGAAATCTATTCTGAAAGTGAGCCATCTTGGATAATTAATTAATTGCTACCAGCACTTTGTGAATTTGTATCTGTTTTTCACTGTTGTGTTTTTATATGATTGTATGTTTTAATTGTATTTATGCTTGAGTGGAAGCCGCCCTGAGCCTGCTTTGCAGGGAGGGTGGGGTATAAATGAGACAAATAAATAAATAAATAAATAATGTGATTGAAACCGACTTCAAGACTTCTCAAGGTAGAGAAAAGCGGGGTATAAATACTTCTTCAGATACAATTTTCTACTAGGCAGCATCTCAAAGAATCAGACCAATAGCTATTCATGTTTTCTACTGCTGCATCGGAGACATGCTAAAGCAAGATAAGTCGTTAATGTCAATGCATAAATGCTTGAGGTTTAATCAAAGGAGAGACTGATGGAATCTGCAAACAATACCAATAATCTACTCTGAGGAATTTGTTGTGAGATATTTGGATGTGTGGGTGTGTGTCTGCACATGTCTATGAAAGAGTG